AAGTTAATTTATTAATTAAAAAAGTTTGAGGTTATTAGATTGTTCTCGCATTCTCGTAAATCACAGGGGTTCTCGTTTGAACCTCCACCTATATATATATATATATATATATATATATAGCAGCGATCAAATGAAAATCGCTTTCATTTATGTAAATCATGTAATCCAATCTCATCTATTAATTTTATTGATCAATGATTAAGATTAGTTTAGGTTATATTAAGAAATTAAAAAAAAAAGTTTATAATCCTTATAATGGTAAAATGGTAACTTTGATAGTGGTAATATTAATGGCGATCATATCATGTATATTGTAATATTAATGAAACAAAATCATTTGTAAAATAAAATATTAATTTTATGTTCAAATATTATAAATAAAATTACATCCATCAATAAAATAGATCAACAATAAAAATAAAATACACTATAATTAATTTTAAATATTTATTTACAAAGCTATTGAAATGTTACTATGAAACTGTTTCACAAGGGAGTATATGGTTACTTACAGAGCTATTGAAATGGTACTACTATGAAAGTGTTTCACTTGTCCAATGAGATTATTACTTTACAAAGATATTCAACTGTTACTTGTTAACATAAAACTGGTTCAATTGTAATCCTAATGAAACTTGTTCACTTGTAACATGAAACTGTTTTTTCTTATCTTTTCTAAAATGGTTTCACTTCATTCACGCACCCATATCATCATGTACACTATTCATGATGCATTCATTTCATGATGCACTCATTTCATGTTGTATCAATTTCATTATGCACTCATTTCATAATCATTTTCACTAACTCCATACACCAATTTCACCATGTATGAAACCGGTTTTATTATGCACTCATTCCATAATCATTTTCACTTACTACATGCACCAATTTCACCATGTATGAAACNCATGCACCAATTTCACCATGTATGAAACCGGTTTCATAAATATTTTTTTTATTCTATTACTGATTTCATAGATTTATTAATCTAATAACTTACGATTTTTATGAATCTTGACAATAATAAAAACCGACACAAAATATAACAAAATCCAATTTTTAATATTATAATTTAATTAAATATTTAAATGTTACCATTTATAAAATTTTCTTTATTATGTTACCTTAATTAGGATTTGTTAATAACTTCCATATTTAATAGAAAATAATACAAATGATCAACATACCCTTAATGATTAAATTTAATTAGAAAAAAATAGAATTTTCATATTGGTTGAAATTAGTTTACACGGTTTATAAGTATTGCACGGTTTTCATTTGAACTTATATATATATATATATATATACACACACATATATATATATATATATACATATATAGCCTCTATTTTATGTGAACACGTGAACACCTTTATCACGTGTGATAATACGCATGGGGGCCCTGTGATGTGCGAACTACGTGTTCTACGACTTAAGTTGCGCCAAATGTTGTTTGGATCTATGATTTAGCATCACATGTGATGATCTTGATGGGTTATAGTATCATATCAACAACACCATTATCACATGTGATAATACTTGTGAAGAGGCTTAGTGTTGTAAGGACGAGTTGGCCCGCAACCAAGATCACATAATTGCCCGTGTCTCTGATTTTAGTATCACATATGTATCATATTTGATGAAATAATAGTATCACATGTGATTGTCTATAGTAAAGAGGTGTTCTGGCGTTCTCGTAAAATGGAGACGTTCTCATTTGAACTTTTCCCTATAAGAATGTTCTCGCATTCTCGTAAAATATAAGTGTTATCGTTTGAACCTCCACCTATGTATATATATGTATATAATTCCAATTTCAAAATATATATAAAAAAAATAAGTGTTTATACTTTTGTTTTACTTTATCTTAAAATAATTATTATTTCAAAAAAATAAATGTTTATTTTTCTAATTTTATTATTAGTATAATAAAATTCGGTTTACAGAACACCAAAAATGTCCAAATATTTTAACAAACTATTTTATTGGACTTAAGTTGATGGAACTAGAATACTTATATGTTGTATCTAAAGATGTTGTAACAAGTTAATTTGACGTTTTTGTGTGTTAAAAAACTTTTTTAGGACACTATTGAAACAGTGTCTTATATGCACTTTTATAGAATATTATTTGAAAATATGTCTTGAAATGTCCTATAAAAGGTTTTTGAGTTTACAGGACATTTCTTAAAAATCTCCTACGATACTTTGAAACAAAGTATTCTAAAAAGTTTGTTAAGTTATCTAAAAACGTCCTCTAGACTTTTTACAATCCTTTTAGATATGACAAACAAGTATTTGGTCCTATAAAGTAGTCTATTAAGAGACATAAGACATATTTGTTAACAACTTAAATGAGTTTAATGGGACTCAAAACTTATTCGGTTAGCTAAAATGAGTATTTGGTAATTATCTAATTATATAGAAAACGACTTATCAAATAAACTTTTAGGGGGGCTTTATGCAGAAAACCAAATTTTTTCCAAACATGTCCCTCCCATTGGAAAAACATGTTCCTTTGATCTACGAAAAAACCCTAATAAGCAAAAAAAAAAAAACTTTCACAATTTATACAGACAAATTAATCCAAATAGACATCTTTATCCATACATGACTTAGGGATGTTTGGGATTACTTATTTAAAACAACTTATGTTTTTTTGTAAAAGTGCTTATTAACTTATGTGGTATCAAACCGGAGTTAAATAAAACAGGGTTAAAATTGTAAACTGGTAATAATCAGTTTTTTATAAGTAAAAAATGATTAACTTATCAAAAACAGCTTATTACCGGTTTGACACCGGTATAAGCAGTTTTTTTTCTTATCCAAACATCAGAAAACAACTTATCACAGATGTCAGACTGAAATAAGTTAAAAAACAATTTTTATAAGCAATCCCAAACACCCCCTTTTAATAGAAAAACAACCAAACAACCCCTTCAATACTTTTGGATTCCTTTAAAAAAGAGATCTTCACATTTAAATCAGTCATAATTAAACAATATTAATGAGGTGTATCAAGATGTATCAGATCAATTTTCTTTTAAAACGTAATTCATCAATGTAGATGAGATTAAAACTGATCAAATATTCAAATTTCTTTTTATGTTTCTTACTATCGAT